ATTGTGGAACCCTATTTTACAGGTTAAGTAATCAAGACAATTCTCGATAACATGATATACATGATTTTGACGATATAAACTAAAAGGAGCATCTAATTCAAATGATTAAATATGTAAGAAAACAAGTTCGGGTTTGATGATTGCTGCAAACATACTATAATGATGGAACTCAACCTGAAGAAATCTCAAGCATCATCTCCAAGAATAATTTAAGCATATGTCTATATGACTAGATTACCCAATAAGTATATAAGCTTCAAAGTGTGAAACAGAGGAAGTGCGAAAGTTTGTTCTATCGTGTATGAGTGAACAATGTGTTGTAAAAGCATAAGGTTTTCTTGATAAAGTTATAAGACTAAATAACACACACGCACACACACACACACACACACACACACACACACACACAAAAAAAAAGATTTAAAGCTTATTTATCTTAAAGAATTATTTCTAAAAATGTTTTGAAGTTATGTCAGTTGAATTAGGAACTGTCTCAATATGTTTGGACAAAATGTATTATCCATCGATTGGAACTTATACCAAATCGATTGGGTTAGTACGAAAATTATCCTCAAACATTTAGGACACCGTCTTAAAGAACGACAACATTTATTTTGACTTTCCTTTTAAACAACCTAAACATTTATTTTGAGGCCTTCTAATCGGTTGATGCATGATATTAATCGATTAACACATTCATTTTGGCCTAAGAAAATTTCATTTTTTGTGCCAATCTCTAGCCTATAAATAGAGGTCATTCCCGTCACAATTTCACACCCAGAAACGTGAGCCTTCATACCATACTCCTCACTCTCTCTCAAAATTATTTTATTTACTTTCTCTCAATTAAATTTAGTCGTAGAGCTTCGAGAAAGTGTTTTTGTATAGTGAGGCATCTTTGTAATTCGGGAAAAGGTATTGTTGTAAATTCACTAGGATTATTTTCTCTTGGTTGAATATTTTATCCATAAGGGATTGTTTGTTTGAGTTAAAAATCTAAACCCATTAAAAGCTTTGGTTTGAAGATTTAGATTCTAAGTCGCTGATTTAGTTAGAGATCAGACAAGTTTAAAATATCAAATTGGTTCATGGTTATTTTGGTCAAAACCTCAATTTGGTTCGTAAGCTCGGCATGATCAAAAGCTTTCTTTGGTTCGAGATAGGTTTGGTCTAAAATCTTAGTGGTTTATGGTCAGCCAAGTCAAAACCTCAGTTCAGTTTGTAAGTTCAGCCAATTCAAAATCTCATCTTGGTTCGAAATAAGCCTATGAAAAATATCGGTTTAGCTTGAGTAATAACCACTTCAAGTTGCTGTTTGGAAAGAAGACTAGCCGTTTCAATCTACTGTTTGGAAGGAAGACTAACCCCTTCTCTCTAGTGTTCACTGCTTGGTTTAAGGTTAGCCTGGAACTTCATTTTTCTTTGTATAAGGGGGTTCGAGAGTTCAACTTACTAAAAGATCTTAAGAATTATTGGATACTCTCAAGATCAAATCTTAGGGAGAGGATTAGGTCACTTCATTTCGACTAAACCTCTATAATTTCTGGTGTTATCTCTCTTACCCTCAACTCTTTATTTTCTTCTTATTTATCTTTCTACTGCTAAATTATTAAAATGTTTTCAAAATGTTTTTAAACTCTAAAAATAATTGTAAATGTTTTTCAAACTATCGTTTTTCTAAAAATCACAATTCACCCCCCTCTTGTGTGTGAGTCATGTGTCCAACCTCAATGGAAAGAAAGATTATAGGCCTTAAATATTCATGTAAAAGGCCATACAACTTAACCTATACTTGGGTAGTGGAATTTTGTTGCAAGCATGGATTGAATTTTGGAGTCCAAGAAAACAATTTAAGCAAACCTGGAGAAAGGTTCCACAAGCCCGATGCCCTGGCCCTTCTTACATCATCTAACAATGAAAAAGTAAACTCAAAGAATCCTTTTCCTAACGAAATAACCCCCTATTTGCCAAATTCCTTTCAAAGAGTGGAAAACTTGTTGCACACATTAACAAATAAAAGATAAATGCTACCTTTGGGTAAGAGTATTCTACTGTAAAGGTTAAACTTGTAACTATGAGATGCAACCTAAGAGGGGGTGAATTAAAGTTTCCCGATTTTTCTCGTTTTTGCATTGTGTTCTTAATTTTCTTTAGATATGAAAATGATATGTTCTTAGCAATATAAAGTATGGAAAATTAAAATGTTTTAAAATAAATGAACATAAGGAATTTTTATAGCCCCCTTATCAACCAATGGTACATCTAGTCCCTTCACATCTTGAAGAGTTTTTTACTATGTTTGGTCTTTGTACAAGCCTCACACCAAGACCCCTCTTACAATATTCTAACATAAACACCAAAGTTATGGTGGACTTTGATTATACCCGAATCAAGGGACCTTTTTCAAAAATATTAAACATTATGATGATTCTCACATAAACAATAAAGTACATTACTTTCTATTTACAACACTTAGAAAGCACACCACTTTCTGCTACAAACACTTTTTAGAAAGCACGTCACTTTCTATTACAAACAATTGTCACCAAACACTTGGTGATCAAAACAGATTTTGAATATATGAAATGTTCTTGAATCAATTTCAATACAAAAAATGTATCTTCTCTTTCAATATACAATTCAAATATAAATAACCTTAACTGTTCATAATATTTGAATGAAACTCTTTGAATGATATGAAAGTTATGCACAAAATTTCATTGTTAAAAGTTGTATGAACATTAAGATTTATGCACCAAGATTTTCACATAACAAGAAAGTACACTACTTTCTGTTTATAACACTTAGAAAGCACACCACATTCAGTTACAAACACTTTTTAAAAAGTACGCCACTTTCTATTACAAACAATTGTCACCATCAAAATAGATTTTGAATATATGAAATGTTCTTGAATCAATTTCAATACAAAAAATTGATCTTCTCTTTCAATGTATAATTCAAATATAATAATCTTAATTTCTCTTAATATTTGAATGAAACTCTTTGAATGATATGAAAGTTATGCACAAAGTTTCATTGTTAAAGTTGTATGAACACTAGATTTTTTTTGAATTGTATGAAATTGTATTTGAAAGAGGTAATTTGAAAAACAGATGTATTTGGCCTTAAATATGTCTTAAGAAATCTCTTGGATTGGGTGCAAATGAATGGAGAAGTTTCATGAAGGTTTGCAATAGGTTGGAATGATAATGATTCATGAAAAGACACAATTCTGTACTATGTACCCGATTTCTTAAATTAGTTAACCATACACCTTATTTAAAAAGTGAAGAACTATTTTCACATTTTAAATAGAACTGATTTCTTAAATCTGTTAAGCTGTTACCTGACTTAGAAAGTACATATTCAACATTTTAAAATTTCGGGCAAAATGAATATGTAATAGATTACACAAAAAATGTAACTAATAACCACTCTATAAATTTTGAAAAATGTGCTTTGAAAATGCTTGAATTGAGTGGTTTTGATGCATGAGTGCTTAAGAAAATTAGAGACAAAAATATGAATGATATTATACGCATATAAGGATATACATAATTTATATTGTAATTGAATACATTTGCTTCAAAATCAACTGTATTTTTCTTCAAAAATATCCATAAACTTCTGCATTCTTGATTCATGTTTCCAAACTTTTTTCTTTGATATTTCTTCTTTGATAATCTTTTATCTTCATCCAAACTAAACTAAGATAGATGATGAGCATGTTCTTCATAAAACTTGCAAACATTTATGCTTGCCAAGTGTTCATCCTTTAGAGTCATAACAAAATCGTGATCCCCCTTAATGATAGTAAGAGGAAGTTGAGAAGTTGGAATGTCACTTCTGCTATTGAGAGCTTTAACAAATAATTTTGGTTATGAAGGCTCTAAGGGAACTGATTCTTAAGGAACATGAGGTGGGAGTGAGACAACTTCAGAGAGTATTGAAGGCTTCCATAAACTAAGTTGAAATAAAGTAAAAAGGAGACGACAATGAACGATGAATATGAATATTATTTAGTGCGTCGAAGCTCATCACATGTGACTAGAACCATGTAAAAATAAAGATATGAATATGTGAACAAATTCACATAATCTAAGTTAATACTCCCATCGTTCTAAAATAAGTGTCGCATTTAGAAAAAATTTATCCTAAAATACTTGTCATTTTAGATTACTAATGCAATTTTATATTTAATATTTCAATTGTACCTTCTAATAAATATATTTTTTCCCACTTAACATTAATTTAAATACGGTTCATCAAGATAATTTGATAAAGTAATTATTTTCTCTCTTTTATTTATTATTATTTTTTAATCTGTGTAAAATAGTAAATTGCGATAAATAATATGAGACGAAGAGAGTAATATATAATAAAGTTAAAATATCTACAAATGTGACAAAATAAAAATATATTTAATATTCACACATAAATTATTTTAATATGTCAATCTAAATAAAAACAAACACATATAAACAAAAAAAGAAAAGTTGAATAATGTCACCTCAAGACAACAAACAACATAAGGTCGTACTAAAATGAAAAATCACAAACAAAAAAGTTTAATCCATATGAAAACCATTTATTCATACTAAAAGAAAAGAGAACATATACACATTAGTGATTTCGGATGAAAAATCCAAAATCACTCATTAGAAATAAATTAATTTAAAATAAAATATAATTACAAAAAAAATCCAATACTACTTTTATAATTTTTTAAGGGCACTTTTATAGTTAAAATTTAGAAATTCCCCCAAGCAATTAATTAGCATTTGACTCATCTCAAACCACACCTCATGAGAGGAGCAGCGACCATAAAGCAAAACGTCAAAATATGTATACAAAATTAGTACAAATTGTCACCATTAATTATTTCATTGTCCCAATAAAGCCATTATATAACCCAACCCAATTATCCTCTTACTTGAATCAATTAAGAAAAACACAATCCATTGTTGCAAAAGAAGAAAAAAAACACATAAAACAAAATGAAGGTTTCAAGTTTTTCAACCATGATAATTCTCTTAACCATTTCCTCCATATTTTCCATGCAACCAATCCAATGTCATTCACCAACGCCAGATATGATCGAGGACGTATGTAAAAAAACAAGTCAATACCAACTTTGTCTCATAACATTAAAATCAAATTTATATTCACATCATCTAAAATCACACGAAGACATTCCTGGATTTGTTCGGATAACACTCCAAGTGATCGCGGCGCGAGCACCCGTTGTATTAGAACAAATTCAAGACGTGTACTTGCAAACCGATCACACACAATTGAAAGCAGCTTTGGATAATTGCATCACAGCTTATGTCAAAATCACAAAAGAGCTTATTCCACAGGCTCAACAATGTCTTGATAAAGGTGATACTATTGGTGTGAAAGAAAAAGCTACTTTGGCTGGAACTTTGGCTGGGTCTTGTGAGCAAAAATGCAAGGGGACTACTACTTCTGGTATTTCTCCACTTGGGGATAGTGGTGAGTTTGTGCAGAATATGTGTTCAATTGCTGCCTCCATTGCTAGCATGCCTCAACCAACTCATTAAACTTTATTTTGAGTATATATATTGTATTTATTGATATCTATGCCTTTTATAGCCTTTGTACATGATGAAAAATGGAGTACAAAGCTACAAGCTTGTTTTTTGTTTTTTATTTTTTATCTAGTGTTGTATTTTTGTTGTAAAATAGTAGCCTTTTAGTTAGGCATATTGTAAACAAAATTTATATAATACTAGATTATCACTTGGAGTTATAGCTAAGTATGCAAATAAGTTAATTTCTAATAATATATTTCTATAAATATATTTAACTAGTTTTGAAGTTGGATTCAACATATATAAGTTAGTTAATTAAAATTGTTTAAAAATTTATAAAATAATTAATTAAAATAGTTAATTGTGAAATTTTATAATGATGTAACAATCATTTGAAAGTATATTTTAACCAAACACTTGTTTTGAAGTTTTACTTTAACAACTATTACGATATAAGAAATTAATTTTATTTTTTGCAGTTCTATTATAATTAATTGTGGGGTATTATTAGTGAATAATATAAATTTAGAAAAGATAAATATTAATATAAATTTAAGTTATAAAATCAATGACTTTACATTTTAATAAAATAGAATATAATTATTTTATGATGTAATTTATTTCTTAAAAATAGAATATAGTTTTTCAATATTAAAATGTAAAATAAGTTAGTAGGAAATATTATGAAATATTTTTCTTATACATGTATTTATAATCTTTCATTAATTTAAGTCATTTTATTATAATTAATAGTGAAATATTATTAATGAATACATAAACTTACAGATAAATATTAATGTAAATTTATGTTATAAAATCAATGATATTGTTATGAAATTGAATAAAATAATAGAAGAAAGAAAGAAAAGAAGAGAGTATATTTTATTATTCATACTCTGAGTTTATATTTCAAGTATAATACGAGTCATATTTATAAGACACATGTAATAAATGGAAAATCAATATGAAATATCTCAATAGATGGACATCCATAATCATGTCATTTATAACACTCCCCCTAAAGAAAATTATAGAGAGACAGTCATCCGTTATTCATAACAGTCCTCCTCGGATGTTTGTTCAGGACATGTCTCGTTAAAATCTTACTAGAAAAAATCTAGTGGAAAAAAAATCTAGTGAAGAAAAAAGAGTACATATCCTTTTAAGAAAAATTCATTCCTCCCCTCATCTGAACGAACTTATTTCTTCGACGATGAAGACCAATCTTTTGTACTAAAAGGTCTACAAGATTAATAAGTTTGTTGGAGCTTAAATCACCACTTTGGTGAAGATCATGAGTGAAAAAGAACTTTGGAGAAATGTGTTTTGTTCAATCTCCTTTAATGTAACCATCTTTCAGTTGAACAATGCATGCAGTATTATCTTCATATATGCATGTATGCATTCTCGACTTGCCTCATGTAGTACTAAAAATTTCTTCATAATTAATGAAGTTGCTGCTATGATTAGTTTCACAAGTCTCTATGAAATGGTTGTACCATCATGTAAGCAAACAATCTATGCGATGTACCGTTATATGAATTTGACAAGTAACTTATTTCTATATAACCTGTTATATATAATTTGAATACCTTAGAATAAAACAAACTCATGTCCATTTATCCTTAAGATAACAAAGTATATGTTGGACCTCGTTCAAATATTTTCGTGTAGCTGAAGAACTATATCTTACTAATAGAGTAACAGAAATTGATATATTGAGGTTTGTATAATTAGGAAGATAGATTAGTGCTTAAATTATACTGAGATATGGTAATTCAGGACCAATTAGTTTTCATCCACTTCTTGAGGTCTAAAAAAATCTTTTACACGTCCAACGATCTAACATCATCGAGGTACACAACATACGAGATTTGTCCATATACAAACGTTTTAGCACTTATGCTACATAACATATGATATTTGTCTATATAGAAACAATTTAATATTTTTCTATATAACCTTCTTATTGTATGAAAGTTCCATTGTCTAAACGTTCATTTAGTAAGGACTTTTTCTTTAGTCCTTCATATCAAATAATTTCCTTAAACAATTTATAGCTTTTGGAAACTCTTTAGGAGTTCCAATAATATTTATGTCATATACATAGACAAATATTATAGAAAATTATTTTCTAAAACTTTTCATAAAAATACAAAGAATTGTGGACTTATTTGTATATATTTACCTTAGAAAATATTTATTGAGAAAATTATATCACTTGTGTCTATATTGTTTTATCCCATAGAGATACTTGTTCAATTTTATATCCTTATCAAGTGAATTATATAAATAAGAAGTTACAATATCCATCATGTTCAAATCAAGCCCTTCATGTGCTACATAACTAATTAATTATCGAAAATTAATTGAATCTACTAAATATGGATATGTTTCATCAAACTCAGTCTTAGGTCTTTGTGAAAATCATTGAGCAACAAATCAAACTTTATACAATTCTTATTTTGATTTTTCACAAAAACTCATTTATATCTCATTGGTTTCACACCACGAGGTATTCAGACTACAGTTCCAAAAATGATTCGCTTTTAAAGTAAGTTTACTTATTCTTCAATTGAATCTATTTATTTTAGCCAGTTCTCATTTTGTCTATAATCTTGGATAGACATTAATTCATGATTTATTCATTTTTCTCAATTCTCACTTTGTCTATAATATTTGATAGACTTTGATTCATGATTTGTTCATTAAGACCAATTCTCACTTTGTATACAATCTTTGGTAGAATTTGTTTCATGATCCTCGTTATTGTTTATCATCTTTAGCACTATATTGTATACAAATACATTGTCAATGTCAATTTTATTTGATTATCTTAATTTCGGTTCCATTCTATTTCATCCATGACATAATTTATCGCGATCTCTTTATTTCATATTTCAAGTACTTGATTAGTTTTTCTGGAACTAAAAAATAAATTATGTCAAAGTGCTCTTAGAATTTTCATATCCTCACTTGGGTAATCTTTAACTCTAGTTTTTTTTCTTGGTAGAGAACTTTTAATATTGGAACTGACTTTCCTACCATACTTCAGGTACAATTATAACTCATTTGTAATATTAGGTTGTCCAATAGGAGAATCCACTTTGAGAGGACTATTAGAAGTCAATAATTTTTTTCATAAATTTTGCAAATGAGTTTTGTTTTAGACTTCGAGGATCAAAATGATATGATAATATTTCATCTCAATTTGTTCATTTTAACTTCTGGTTCACACTTTTAGCTACCGCTTATTCTCTCCCCTCTAATATTGATAAAATTAATTTATCATTTGATAATCAGCCTACTAGGCTTCAAACAAGTATTCAAGTATTGGCCTCAAATACGGAGTTCATATAAAAGATATTTTTTCAATATTCTTTCAAAACTCATATTAGCGTACTATATTGGACCAATTGAATAATCACAACACATCCAAAAGTTTACTTAGATGAGACGTAATAAGTTATTATCCTAAAATAATTTGTAACTTCATGGGAGAATTAACATATAATAACTTGTTGGCTTAATGCGAATAAATTTCAGAATATTCATGGTTGTGTGTTTCCAATGTATAATTTATAACTTATGATCTCATAATTATCATCCATGTAATTAATTTTAGACGTCTAAAAAATGAATCTTCAAGTCCATTTTTTTATGAACATATGCTATAAGATGTTCAATATCAAATTTAATAATACATGTGATACTTATCAAGAAAATTTCAAAATTTTCAAAAATTAAGATCTTAGTATGAGAAAAATACTTCACAAACTTCTAATTGCGATTATACAATAAATATTTGCATGATATTTTAGTCGATGGAACAATTAATGTCATGAAAAATTCAATTTCTTAGAATTTTATTTTCATTTAGAAACACAAAAAATTTATTGGATTGAAAAAACTTTTGGTTCTTCACTACTAGTTTTTGTTGAAAGTAATTTCTTGTGTCGAAGCAGTTAGCTCGACAGAGACAAAGAAGTGTCAAAACATGGTGTGTTGAAGATACTGCACACATACTTGATTTTAGATTTAGATAGATTTGATTTAGATATAAAACAAAATAGATTTAATTTAGTTCTAAAATAGGTATTTTGGGCTTTTATAGTTTTGGGATTTTGGCTTAGAGAGCAAGCTAACCTAAATCTATAAATAGAAGGAGTAACCCCTATTTTTGTAATTAACTCATTGTATTCACAGAATTTGCAGTTGCAAATAATAAAGTTTTCCACAGTTTGTGGGCTGAGAGAAACTCTGCAGAAAAATACTTTCTTTCTTTCTTCATCTTTTATTTTTCAGTCATTGTATGGTGATATCAATCTTGTTCATCGAGATTGATAGAAATTCATCATAGGTTTTGGTGGATTTCCAACATCTGGTATCAAGATTTCTGGTTAAGTGATTTAAGGAAAGAAAGATCAAGAACGATCGATGAAGAAGAAGAATAAATTCACGATGGTGATGAATTACGCTAACGAAAATTTTCCAATAAGTCTTCCAATTCTTAAAGGTGATAACTATGAGAGTTATTGCAAAAAGATGAAGGTTATATTTTTTTCAAGGTCTTTGGGATCTTATGAAATATGGATTAGAACCACTTGATAAAGACGCTTCATAGAAAGAAGAAGCTACATATAGAGAATCGAAGAAGAAGAATTATAAAGCTCTCTTTATAATTCATCAATGTGTCAGCCCATACAATTTCGAAAATGTTAGTGATGTAGAATATGCAAAATAAGCCTGGGAAATTCTGAAGAAATCGTTTGGAGGCGCTGAGAAGGTGAACGAGGTGAGGTTACAAACTCCCAAAGAACATATGAATTGCGTCAGATGGAAGATAATGAGAGCATATATGATTTCTTCATTAAGGTTACGAAACTAGGGAATCAAATCAAGACTTGTGGAGAGACGTTAACAACAAGAGGAGTTGTTTCGAAGATCTTAAGATCTTTGGCTCTGAAGTTCGACCATGTGGTAGTTGCCATAGAGGAGTAGAAGGACAT